CCTCGCATAGTAAGTGTAGAAACCAAAAATTTTGGTGCGCGGTTCGTAAAATTTCCTCTACACAGACCAAGCATTTTCAAATTAACTTTTACCAATCGAGATCTTTATTATCCTCCAAAATGAACTTATAATATATATATATATATATAAGGAATATATAAAAATATAAATGAGAAATATATTTCACAAAATTTTTTATTTTTTATGTATTTTTAAATATATGAATATAGAAAATTTAATGTGAGAATGATGAAGAAGTCTCAAAAGGACCAATTAATTTAAGTTAGGTCTTAAGTGCTAAATTTAAGAAATGTACAACTCAATCTCTTAATTTTACAATTGCGTTATAATGAATTTGTAATTTATTTTTTAAATTTTAACATTGTTATGTTAAATTTGAAATACAAATTACAAATTTATTGAGTGATAAATTCTTAAAATTTGACAACTGACACTTCACTTGAATTGATTAATCATTTTATAATTTCTTTATTATTCTCCCAAATTTAATATATATTTATCACATGCCATGATGAACAACTGTGCCTTTAGTTACAAGTATTATTGATACGATCATTATTTTTATAAAATATTAAAAAGTATTATCAGTGAGGTAGTTTTCTATAATTGTCTTATAAATGGTATTTAAACCCAGACCGGCCCACCAGGTCAAATTGATAAATTGATGAACAAGTCTCTTGGCTAGTTTGGTCAAGAAAATAATCCAGAATCATAGTAATTTAGTGTAGCTCAATTAACTCGAGATTAACCCAGAAAAAAGGGCCAACCTGTTAGGTTAATCAAGTCATCGGGTTGTAGGGAACAAAATTAAAATGAAAAAACTAATCATTAGAAGACAGAGACAAAGAATATGGATGAATAAAAGATGAGGGATGAAGAAGAAGGAAGGGGAAAAAAAGGAAAAAGAAGATGAGAAGATTCAGGGGAAAAATAATGAAGAAAGAAACTGAAAAAGTAAAGAAATTGTATACCAAAGCTGTCAACATCTTCCATCTGCAATTTTCGCTGCAATTTATTTTTAAGGAGGATGAAAGTTTCAAAGTGCACACAGACTATGGTTGCACAAAAGATTAGATAATATTGAATTTTGACCTAACTCAAAATCTGATTTCTTTCATAAAAATGATTGGGTTAGACAACTTATAGTCTGGTCTTATTTAGTGATAACCTGAAAATTAATAGGATCAAACTTGGTCTATAGAATTGGGAGACTGGTCCTGTTAGTTTAATACTCACTTAGATATTTTTTTTCTTTTTGTCTGTATGAGAGGTAATAATCCATTTTAACTTAATAAGCTCAATTAAAATAATAAAATCACTTATAATCATAATAAATCAAAAATCATTTCCAACAACAAGAAAAAAATTTCAGTTACAATCCAAATGATTTAAATTTATAATTTCAACAAAAATAATACTCAACAAACTTCAACAACACTAAATTACAACAACAATTTAAAAACAAACTCAATAAATCTTCATACAATCATCTTCTTAGCGTCAATTACACTTGAAGTGTTTGTGAAAAATAAATTAATTATAATTATATTAAATAAATTAATAGGATAGGATTGAACTAAGTGGTCCAGATGTCTAGTCTCCTATCCAGTCCAATCCGAAAAAATAATTTGATCTTTTTAAATCTTTTTGATCTAAAAGACCAGTATTTATAAGGATTAAACAAGACAAGATTATTTCAAATTGGACTGAGTTGGACCGAATTAGAAGACTTTTACATAGCCCTAACATAGACGATGAAGGAAAAAGATGGGGAGGAGAGAAGTTTCAAGCTTTATTTATTTATTTATTTTTGAAACTGTGCCTGTGCCATTTATACTGATGACTAAACAAAGCCCGCGCCATTTACTAACCCCTGATCCTATTAAATCATGCTTACTCCACTTTTCTTGGGACCTGGTGCTTTTTAAATTTTAATATCAGTAATTACTAATTTAATTACTTAAAACTAAAAAACATTTAAAATATTATTATTATTACCCTATTTTTGAATTTATCTTGGTGATCGTAACTTTTGCTACCATTTGATATATTTATTTAAATAGGAAAAATAGCACCCAAGGATCACTGTACGATATTTATATCAAAGAAGGACTAAATGATTTTATATTATCACTACAGTCCTTTGGTCCTTCTTACATATTAATTTTATAAGAAAAAAGACCAAAATGCCCCTCCAAATGTTGGAAACGTGTTCCTAGCTGAAAGCTATCTCGGTCGAAGCTTTTCCCTATTTTTCTTCTCTCTAAACTAGCTCTGCAAGCAAAGTATAGTAGCTTGTAGATGAAAAAATGACTGTAGAACCATCCATTGTCAACCTCTTCTATCCTTCTTTGTCAACCATTCTCTCAATCCTACACTTGTCAAAACAGTAAATACTCTTGTTAATTTCCCCGTGGAAACTTGTCAAAACAGTAAAGGCATTTCTCAAAACATTCACCATTATATGTGTAATACTCTTATAATGTAAATAATCTAAAGGATCTTGTTAATTCATGAATTGAAGTTGTCACTCAATTATACACTTGTCAAAACAGTAAAGACTCTTGTTAACTTTCCCATGAAAACTTGTCAAAACAGTAAAGGCATTTGTCAAAACATTCACCATTATATATATAATACTCTTATAATGTAAATAATCTAAGGGATCTTGTTAATTCACGAATTGAAGTTGTCACTCAATCATACACTTATCAAAACAGTAAAGACTTTTGTTAATTTCTCATGGCTACTTGTCAAAATAGTAAAGGCACTTGTCGGGACATTCATCATTATATATATCATACCCTGCTCTTGTAAATTATTTAAGAGATTTTGTTAATTCACAAATTGAAGTTGTCACTCAATCATACACTTGTCAAAATAGTAAAGACTTTTATTAATTTTCCATGACTACTTGTCAATGTAGTAAAAGGACTTGTCAGAAGATTTATCATTGTATACGACCCATCACTTGTCAATAATCTAAGGTTTTTTCTTAATTAATAAATTGAACTTGTCAAAACGCTAAAGAGACTTGTCAAAATATTTATCATTGCATACTACCTTGCTCTTGTCAATAATCTAAGGGATCTTGTTAATTTACCAATTTAAATTGTCAAAATACTAAAGGGATTTGTCAGAATATTTATCATTATATACTACCCTCAACTTGTTAGAAATATAACAGATCTTGTTAATTCACGAATTGAAGTTGTTTCTCAGTTAAACACTTGTCAAAACACTAAACACTCTTCTTATTTCCCTATGCCTACTTGTTAATATAGTAAGGGGACTTGTTAATTAATGATTGTGAGTTGTTATAAAATCATACACTTGTCAATATACTAAAGGGACTAGTTAATCATAGTCAAAGTTCTTGTTATTTCAACATGGTTACTTGTTAATGTTCTAAAAAAACTTGTTCTAGTATAAGTTTTCATTTCTCTGTCCTTATCTTGTCAATACAATGAGGGGAGCTTGTTAATCCACCAATGGAAGTTGTTATCATGCACATAAAGCAATGATCAACAAACACATAAATGACATAAACTTAGCATGCAGACCGAAATAATGCCAACCAATCACTCAACTACGTTGTTTCGACTAAGATGGAGATAAAGGACAATAAATACCTTCAGAAGAATGAAATCCGTCTTATCATTTACTGAGCACCTTTGTTCACCTCCAACAATGCTTGAGAACAACCACCTTCAACAATTCACAATGACCCACTGCCAAACCTTCGACCACCGATAATGTTATCAAAGAATCACCCTTATAATGTCATGCACAGATAGGAACAACCATTTCGTCCTCAGAAGTTAGAGAAGAAAATGCTTCCTGCAGTCATCGATGTGGGGGAGTCATGGGCACGATTGTGGGGGCAGCTCGTCCGACAAATGGGGTAAAGTAACCTTCTTTAAGGTTCTACGTGCGTTGTACATATTATTTTAAATTGAGGGGCATTTTGGTTTTTTTTCTTATGAAATTAATATGTAAGAAGGACCAAAAAAATTGTAGTGATAATATGAAATCATTTGGTCCTTCTTTGATATAAATATCATATGGTGGTCTTTGGATGCTATTTTTCCATTTAAATATTTAATCTTTATATTTTTTATTTTATTATACTCCATTCGTTCAAAAATATGAGGCATTTTTAACCGAATTTCACACTCTAATACAATAGCTATCTACTTTTAAATTAACCTTATCTTTCCATATTTACCCCTATTAAACACTCTACAATAAATATAAATTTATTTGTCAATAGGGGTACTTTTAAAAAAAAAGATAATGATTATATCTCGAAAGATTAAAAATACTTTATATTTTTGAAAATTCAACTTTTAAAAAAGGCCTTACATTTTTGAATGGAGGAAATAATTTTTTAAATGATATTATGTAAAAAATAAAAATTACTTTTTATTACATGTTATACATTTTATACATTTCAATGCTTTATATTTTATACATGTCACACCCCAATAAGGCCTTAAAAAAAGGCCTTACATTTTATACATTTAAATATTTAATCTTTATATTTTTTATTTTATTATACTCCCTTCGTTCAAAAATATAATACATTTTTAACCGAATCTCACATCCCAATAAAATAACTATCTACTTTCAAACTAACCTTATCTTCCCATATTTATCCCTATTAAACACTCTACAATAAATATAAATTCATTTGTCAATAGGGGTACTTTTAAAAAAAAGACAATAATTATATCTCAAAAAATTAAAAATCTTTTATATTTTTAAACATTCAACTCTTAAAAAAAGTCTTACATTTTTTAATGGAGGAAGTAATTTTTTAAATGATATTATGTAAAAAATTAAAATTACTTTTTGTTACATGTTATACATTTTATACATTTCACCTTATAAAATGTTATATTTTTTTAAAAATAATATTTTTAATTTATATAATATTTTGAAGATTGATGTCTTTTTTATTTAAATATTTTTTATAGTCAAATAAAAATATTTTGAACGCACAGAAGCCCGATGCGGATCCATCTCAAAGCTTCATCCTTATCCGGGCAAGTGTTGACCAAGTGACGCTCCACAAGTTCAAGTCCCTTGCCTTCATTCCAGAGTCGCCATGCCTGTTCAAACTTTCAGAGGCGAAATGAGGTTTTCTTTTCCACGAATCGTAAATATTATATTACAATTTTTAACCTTATCTCACTATCATGAAAAGCCTCCATGTAAAATATGGGGGCAAAAGAGGGGGGCCTTACATGGGAGAGAAGACTCAAACCACGTTCTGGTTGGTAGAAGCCGGTGTTTCTTTTTCCACTGATAATTTCTAGCATGATGACACCAAAGCTGTAAACATCTGACTTGATGGAAAATAATCCCTCTAAAGCATATTCAGGTGTCATATATCCACTGTAGAATGTTTAGGAAGCCTTTATCAAGTAAGAAGGATAGGAAATAAGAGTAAACATCTTTTAGGTATATTCAGTCTACAGCATAGAGAAAGTTAGCGATGAAAAAGTATCAATGTTATGCAAATTCAATTTCTGTGTAAGGTTAATATCGATTCTGCTGAAAGGAACAGTGCAATGGTGAACAATATGAAGAAACATCATATTGCATGTGTCACATAGGGGGCTATAAGGGAAGCAGTGAGAATCATAAATACTTACTATGTACCAATAACTCTTTCAGTACTAGCTTGAATTTGATTGCTGACAAAAATTCTAGCGGTTCCAAAATTTGATATTTTTGGATTTATCTCTTCATCTAGTAACACATTGCTTGCTTTTAGATCTCTATGGATAATTTTTAGCCTTGAGTCCTCATGCAAATACAGGAGTCCTCTAGCAATTCCCTTTATAATACTCCTCCTCTTAGACCAATCTAGTCGTTGACGTTTTATTGGATCTGCTTAAAAGGAAACTCCTTATGAATAAGAAGAAGATATAGATATTTGTGTAATCAAAGAGGGAGAGAAAAAACAAACCAAACAAGAAGGTATCAAGGCTATTGTTTGGCATGTATTCATAGACCAGAAGCTTTTCATTTTCTTCCAGACAGAACCCCAAAAGGCTCACAAGATTTTTGTGTTGGAGTTTTGCTATCAATGTCACTTCATTCTTGAACTCTTCAAGGCCTTGCCCTGATTTGAATGAAAGCCTCTTAACTGCTATCTCCTTGCCATTACTCAACTTCCCCTGGATGTATACTAGAGTTTAATCACAATCAAGAAATATGAAGGGGAAAAAAAAGCTAGTTTTCCGTATAAAATGAGAACTGATATATCTTAGGAAAGTGTAGTTCATTCACAATCATTGATTTTAAAGTTTGCAAAATATTCCTGGAGGAGTTATCAAAATAATTATCATACAATTTGATGGTTGATTCAAATTTCAATTTGATTTTTTCAGTTTAAAAGTTTGTAATTAAATCTATGCAATTGGATGCCTCCCTTGTTAAGTTAGTTGGATGATAAATTGTGCATGTTTAGAGTGTCAGGATGGCAGATGGTTGATTAAGGTGAATACTCCATTTATTCCATGAAAATTAATCATTTCTAATGCAACTTCCATATCATGCACTTGAACTCAATATGCTAAACTCAGGTAAGAAAGTTTGCTCTCCAACCTTGAAAACGAGTCCAAATCCTCCTTTCCCTAGCTTGGCTTCTTCTGAGAAATAGTCTGCTGCGACCTTAATGGTCTTCAAACGATAGTTTTGAACTTCTCCATTGTTGTACTCATCTTTCGCGGTTCCTTTCTCTTTAAAGTGGGGCTTCTTTGAATTCTCCAACTTCTGTGTCAGAATTTCATCAATTGTTTCTCCCCCTGGATATTAAAAAAATAGTTAGAAAGTTCTGCAAATAAATAAAACATTTAGTGCGTGAAAAGTAGAAAAATATAGTCAGGCTCTCACTCTCATCATGTAACATATCCTTTGGCCTTAGGATCAGAGAGAGGAAGAGAGGAAAGAAATGGGGCCCACTCATGTAGGACAAACATGGTGGATATAAGGGCCACCGCCTCTTTTTCTCTCTTCAAACTTCAAGTAAAATAAACTTCAGAGGGGCTTGATTCTTCTCATCACATACCTTTAAGTTTTCCTTTCCAGTGAAAACATACGTAAGTTGCAAAACCCAAAAAAGCTGCAGCCATTGCAATCGGGACAAGCATAACTACACTGGCTCTAACTTTGGATGTGAATCCTTCAGCAGAACCTGCTCTTACAAGAATTGTGTTAGTATAGGTGTGGAATCAGACCCAACTCTAAGCGCAAACCATTTCTTAATTAAAAATTAAAGAAAAAAGTGGTTAGTTACAGTAAGTATTCACAAATTCATGCTTTTTTTAATTGAATTTGGGACTGAGATTCAAACTTGGAAAGTTCAAGTCTAGAGATGACTCAAATTTCTGAGGAAACTAAAACATCGGAAAAAGAAAATACATCTACCTGCATCATCTGGCGGGTAAATTGGTGATACAGGGGCAATATCTGGTCCGCCAATTTGCTGATAGAAGATATAATTTTCATGTCTTATATTGCAACTTGGACCCAATATGTGCCAACGAGCCTTCTGCCGGGGAAACTTCTGTGCTTCTACCATCAATTGTGACAAACAGAAGCTGCATGAACTACTGTCCAAGTCTCTTGTGCACTGCACAAGCCCATATCGATGCTCAGAACTATTTGCCACCACCTCCGAACCGTTTGCTCTGAACAGCATAGATGTGTTTGTGGCTTCTTTTATGAGTTGGTAAATCAGAGCTAGCGCTTCAACATCGGGTTGACTGACTGAAGTCCTATTTTTCTGATTCCACATGAATTTTGCTGGCGAAATTTGAGCCACTCCAAAGAACTTCCTTTGAGAGTATCTGAGCATGCACTGATCATACCAGATTTTGATTTCTCGAATTGCAACTTTGACGCAGTTTTGGCTGGTTTGAAGGGAAACATCACCCCTGCAGAGGTAGAGACCATAAAGATTACGTGAAAAACCTTTGTAAAAGCTGTGAAGGGATGATTTAGACGACAAAGAATTCAAGAGGAAAGTGAGATTTGAATTTTGCATAATTTCTGCTATTAGATGGATGATTACAGGCCTCTTTGAGGTAGGTTATCTGGGAGTTACAGCGGATGATAAACGAAGAAACTGAGAATAAAACCAGAAGAAAATTCTGCAGTCTAGGGAGTGAAACATTTTCACGCTAGGCTTCCCTGGCTAGTTTGTTGGGATAAATGTGAAGCTTTTCACTAATGAGATGAAGTAAAGGGAATGCATGTATGTTTCTTTCAGCTCCATGTTGCCTTTAGGAAACACCCAAGTGTTTGTTGTGTGTTTATTTATAGTACATGCAACAGCCAATGCTTCATTGAATACGAACTGAACCAATCTAAATGGACCTTCTTCTCAGATATTTTAATATTATCTTTTCTCTTGGCTTCTGTTTTGAAATATGTTAATATTTTAATATTTCAGATATTTAATATCACTGTTTCCCTTGTTTATCCCACCAAAAATAAAAAGAAAAAGGAAAAGGAAAATACTATTTCCTTTGGATATTGACGGGGTCAAAATCAATATGGTGAACCGCATGGTCTTTAAAACATGGTTGCAGTCAGAACTTTGGTTGGGGGCAAACACCACCAGATTGTCCTTGAAGGGTGGAAACAACAAAAATAAAATTATCAATGCCTTCTAGGCCTTTTGGCTAAGATCAAGTGTAGTATTTGTTCTTATAAATTTAATTTCTGACCCATAGTCTGTTGGCTCACATGGTATTAAATTATCACTCATTTCCCATTTGTTCTATTGAGGAATTGAGATTTGTAAGTGCATGGGGGAATAGAGTGATAAGGAAACAAAAGAAAGAAGGATACAGAGCAGCAGAAACAATTAAACACAACCAACGGAAAGGTCTTGAGCCAATGGGAAGAGGAGGGAAAACGAAGCTTAAGCTATCTTGAAGGAGAAAATGATGATTGGCTCAAGGGAAGGAGGGGCAAAGAACAGAAGGTAGATACTTGAGAGTCAAGAGAGAATTTCTCTAATTAGAGATCCATCCATGCAGGTTGGACAATAATCATCCTTATTAGAAAGAAGATTCTAAAATCAGTTGTTTTCTTTAGATCAATTTGTAGCAACATTATTTCTTTATTAAATTTTTAAGGCTTGGCAGTTGAGAAGGTTCTTTTAGGGGTACAAGATATGTTCTCTACTGGATATTACAAGATGACGCCCGTCATGCTTTATCTACAAGTTAGAATTGATAGTTACGCAAGATACTTTCAGATTCACATGAACTCGTTGCAACTGAGTTTTACTTCCAAGAATGGACATCGAAAAATAAACTAGAAGCATGCAGAAAATGCAGTTCACAAGGGTACAGGAAGTATGAGAGAGTAGCTATTATGCTGTTTATTTTTTATTTTTTATTTTTCTTTTGGGGCATGCTTGATTACTTGAATAGTGATAAGGGGTAACAAAAAGAGTTAGGAAGATAGGGATTTGTCAGAGGATTGTGACTGTTAGAGTTGACAATATTTTTCATTGCAAGTTCAATCAACCAAGTGTCAACCCACAAACGCTGTTGTTGGCAAACATACAAGTGGCACAAAGATTCTGGAAGTTCACAAAGTTGCATTCAAACTTGTACACCACCACCTATGGTGGTATTGTGGGATTAAGAGTGCTTCAAGCCTTTGACAGCCTAAACCTGCAAGAAAAGTTAATTTCTTTACCGCATCCTTCATCATCCATCAAAATCCCTATTGACAACACATGAGCCACTGGGTTCAAAATAAAAATAAAAGGCTCACTCTTTCCATGCTGATGCAATTGAAGAATTTTTCTTTTTAATTATCTGGACAATCATCGGGTATTATTTTTTTCTTTATAAAACAAGTTGTAAACCGGTAATTGATGCCCATGGGTTTAACTTTGACATTTACATTTACAGAGCATATCAAGGGGTTTTCATCATCAATTTGGACCGTTTAGATTGATTTTGGGTGGAATAAATCTAATTTAATTTTTTTTAATATTCTAATTAACTTTTTAATTAACTTTACCCCACCTAGTGGGATAAAGACTTGTTGTTGTTGTTGTTGTTGTATTCTAATTAACTTTTTAGTTTAATATGCACAAAATCTAAAATAAGGATATTTATATAATTGCCACTTTTTTTTAAAAAAAAATTGGACGGCTTATATCTCATCACAACAAAGAGCACATAATGAGTATTAAATGTAGATCCTTTACCTTTAGCGAGGATATAGCTTAGTTATTGAGGCCTCATCAACTGATAATATTTCAGCAGTTTTACTATTTTGTTCACTTGAGCTTGCTGACACAGAATTGTACTCCTCAGATTTGATGTGTGATAAACTTTTGTTATTCATAAAAAATGCAGGTTGTAAGGGTTCTGGAAGAGAGAAAGAGTCGCTGTCAAGCATAAGCAAAACCGAAGCCATGGTTGGTCTATTAGCAGCCCTTTCTTGAACACAGAGTAAGCCAATGTGAATGCATCTCATTATTTCGCTTCTTGAACCGTCAGATAACGTGGAATCTACAATATTAGATGATGTCCCTTTCCTCCAGCTTTTCCATGCCTGCAAGAAGTTGTTCAATTGCAGAAAATTTTAAGTAATCTAATATGGTAAAAGAAAATGAGATAAATAATGAAAAGAAGGAAAACATACAAAGCTTGGAAGGTGATCAATATTCTCCTCATCATGGATGCCACCATTCTTTTGTCCTCTTACAATCTCTAGAATTAGTACACCAAAACTAAATACATCAGATTTTACAGAGAATCGTCCATGCTTTGCATATTTTGGTGCCATATACCCTCTGCACATTAAAACACAATCATATTCAAGAGCATGCTTGTTTTGTTATAGTCCTGTAGAGATAGAGTCTTTAGATGGCAAGTAGCTTCATCATATTGTTAAACTTACAAGGTTCCCACAATTCGATTTGTCTTGGCTTGAGACTCATCAATGGCAAATAATTTTACCATTCCAAAATCTAATATTTTAGGATTCATGTTTATATCTAATAGAATATTATTTGTTTTAAGATTTCGATAAATAATCCGTTGTTGAGATTTTTCATGAAGATAATTAAGTTCACAGGTAATGCCTTCTATAATTTTGAAACGTGCTTCCCAATCCAAACACACACACTTAAAAGGATCTACATGTTTCAAGTCAAGTTATAATCATATAAACAATTATTAAGATTGTTCCTTATTTATTCACACGACAAAAACTGAGGTGATTTTTGTTGAAAGAAAATTTCATACCGAAAACGAAGTGATCAAGGCTTCTATTAGGAAGAAGTTCATAGATAAGTAGTCGCTCTTTTTCTTCCAAGCAAAAACCAAGCAGGCGAACTAAATTTCGGTGTTGAAGCTTAGCCATTAATAGCACTTCATTCTTAAATTCAGTATCTCCCTGCCCAGAAACCCCAGACAACCTTTTGGCGGCAATATTTTGTCCACTGGAGAGCCTACCCTGAAATTGATCAAGAACCAAGATTTATTAGGATTGGACTTAGAACTGATATTTATCTTGGCATAACAGTGTTATCCTAACCTTATAAACAGGTCCAAATCCACCTTGACCAAGCTTATTTGCATCAGAGAAGGAATTTGTAGCGACTTTGATGGTGTCAAAGCTGAACTGCATTGATGCAACAGGCTCAATTTCAGCGTCAGCTTCAAGTTCATCTGGTAGAGAGGAATTTAAGCCATTGAGTTCAACAATTATCTTCTTTTATCCGTCATTTTTCTTGAGAGAGAGAGTCATTAGTCAGCTCATAAAATTTTTTGTCCCTGGATTTTTCATGGCCATCATATTGATTGGCCCCACTTGATTAATTAAAAAATCACAAAAAAAAAAAAATGTCATGGCATACTCTCACCATTAGATCGATATGTGCACTTACTGTGAAAAGCTGTTCTCAGCTTCCATCCTCGTGCAACATAAATCCCAATAAGGCTAAGCAGTACCACAAAGCCAACTACAGGCGCAGTTATCTCAATGAAAAGTCGTGATTTATTGTGTTTTCCTGAGAAAGAAAACCCTGGTTATTGAACGGACCAAAAAACAAAAAAAGATCTATAATGAAGCATGTTGGATGTTTAGGCTTTGGAGCCTAATTATTCTGCAGGACAAGTACTCAACTACTACATTTTTTAAACTCAAAGACCTCCCACGTGTGGCATTTATTAATGGGGGGAATGACATTTTAGGACCAATACTTCAACTTAATTTTAGTATGAGATAATTTTTTTTTAAAAAAAAATTTAGTTAAGAACCTTGGATACTTGATATTCTTAAAAAATTACATAATTAAATATTTCAGGATAATGAAACTATCAATCTCTCAAGTTTGCCTTAGTTATCAATTTAGTCTCTAAATTTAATTTTTATCAATTAATTCACTAAAAATTTCATATTCTTATTTGATCTCATTAGTTAAACAATTTTTCTACAATATGGAGAAATTAAAAGTTTCATTATCCCAATTTTTCCCCTTAAAATGCGTCATGTTAAATTTTGGAAGATCAGTTGTAAATTATTATTTAATACAATTGTGGATAATGAGTATCAAATTGGCATTTGATAATTTCAAGCTGAAATTTGGTCAGTTGGTTCATAACATCCAACTCATCATTTTCAAAAGTTAGATCGTTGATCCGTTGCCTAATGTGAGAATTATTCAGTTCGTTATTTGTATGGGATTTTCCTACGTTAACAAGATTGATTAATCTAATCCTAGGATTAGTAAGAGATTAGTGTTAGGTATAGTAATTAGTTATAATTAATATGTGTTACTATTAATTATCGTAATTGTGTTGTAGACAAAATAAATGATCACTTGTGTGTTCAAGGAACCTGACTATCAAAGAGTAGAGACAATCACTTCTTGATGTTATATCATGTGTTTTGTAATTAATTATATGAATTTTGAATTATGAAATATATATATTGAGAACCCATGTGTTAGATCAAACTCTATTGTGTTGAGAACACATGTTGCCAAGTAGGATATTAATTGTTTATGATAAAGTGTTTAGAGTAAAATGTATATTGAAAAGCATGAGTTTTAATGTGTGATGTATTTATGTGCATTGGCACTGTTATTAATTGCATGATTTGTTGGTACATGATACACAGAGTCATGTGTTGAATAAATCTTACCACATGGTATACTCCTATTAGGTTCAAAGGATGGTACAAATGGCTTGGATTAATTTATCTTTGACTAGGTGAACTAGAATATTAAGCATGGGGTATGAAAGAGATAAGGAGTTGTCATACCATATAAGTGTATTTACAAATTGAATATATATAACTGTTTAAAATGTATTTTTATTCCCACTTAGCAATCCATATATGTGACAACTTTACATGCTTTGTTTCATTCAAAAATTGGTTATTACGACCCTCGCGTCTCATTCCCAATAGTTATTGTTTTTAGGAAAAGGTCTAGCCAAATAAGTATCAAGAGAGTCATTAGGTGCATATTGACACCCTTGACCGATGTGGTTTCTCTCTATTTTTTTTTTTTGAAGCAATGTATAAAATATCAACTTATGACAGTCTGGTTATTATGAACATTTAGAATTTAATTTATTTTATGTTACATTTATTGGTCATGAAACTTTTGATTACTCCTCATGCTCTTAAAGGATTATTGTTTAATTATTTAGAAAATTCGATATGATTTAATTTTTAAATTGTTTATTTTAAAATTTGTTGGGAACTATAATATATTATTTTAAATGTTGTATATCCTTTTTAAAAGACTTGTTCAATAAGAGCATATTTTAGCACTTCTTATTTAGTTAAATTATGTTCTTAAATATCATGGTAGATTTTTTCTTGGATTTGTAAAACTATTTTATTGTCATGGTAGTTGATATTTATGAAATGTTTTAATTATAAAAAAATTTTAGTTCTACCATGATATATTTTCTAAATTATTATTTTGTTTCTTAATAAAAAACCTAACCACAGTAAGCTCTTTTTTATCATGGTAAATTTTTTTAATTTATGGTTCTATTTTTTTACTATGGTAAACCTTTTCATTATTATGATAGTATTTAAAAAAATATCTTTCACTTGTTAATATCATGATAGATATTTTTTCTATCATGATAGAAGTATTTTTTAAATTTTGAGTTTTTTCAATAATATTATTATCTAAAATGAAATAAATTTGATATATGATTGAGGGATGTTTCAAACACACTTTCCAAGGTGGCCAAGTTGAAGCATGAATCCTTGTAAGAAACAACATATTAACTATAAAGAGAGAGGGAGGAGGCGGAGGAGAGAAGAGAGTGAGACATGGAAGGAAAAAGAGGACTAGAAGTTTGGAGAAGCAGAAATGATGGGCAGCACACTGTCTAAAGTGACACTACGGGGTGATAATACCTCAAATTTAATTATTTAAGTTTTAAAATATACTAATTATAAGTATGGGGTTCAAATGGCCCCTGAATTTATAATCCAGAGTTCAAATTAATATTAACTTTTTACATGGAACATTTTAGAAGGAAGAGTAGTACATAATTTAACATGATTATTAAGAAGTAAAAGTCCTTTACCAGCCTTTTGAAATTTTTAGGCCCCAAACTAAACAAAAATTATATACTAGAGGGTATTCTTGTCTTTATATATTTTTATTCACTATTGAAATACCCTTTCCTCAAGTAAGATTCCATTAACTTACTAATAAATTAGGCATCTTCAAAATCTATAAATAATACATAATTAATTAGATTAATGGATTGCAATGATAAGAAACAGAGGATGGGGAGAAAAGAAAAAAAGGGTTAATGTAAAAAATACTCATTAAGTGATTGGTCAGGAGTATCCAATAGCTTAAATTGAAAAAAATGGCAAAAATATCCATAACGTTATCAGAATTGGTATAAAAATGACTAAATCATTAACTTTTCTTTAACGTCGTTAGTTTTTTGTGTTAAATGCAGATTATGCTTACCACGTGTCAGTCTTTACTGATATTGACTAAACAAGGGGGCAAAAATACCCATGAAGTCATTGGCCAAAGCATTTATTAGCATAAAGTGAGAAAAAGGATAAAAATACTCATAACGTTATCAAAGTTGGTGTAAAAGTGACTAATCTATCAAATCCATTAAATATTGATCGTTTAGTTGACATCTAAACAGAAGTTGACCATTTTTCACTGACATGAACAAAAAATATTCCCAGGTAAAATTCTATGAAAATTGATCGATCACTGTATGAATATCATGTGAAAAATATCATTTTGATCAAACATCAAGTTAAATCGCTTGCTTCTTTGTAACAGTGACAAAAATCATTTGAGAATTTTGAACCTATCATAAATGAAATTGCTTAATGTGTCAATGTTCTTAAAGTAGGCAATGTAGGAGGTGTGCTTAGTCTTAATTTTTGATTGTGTATAACTTATCTTATTATATTAAATATTAAATTTTACAAACAATAAAAATGAGTGGGGAGGGAAGGGGTGGGATACATGGTGATAAAATAAAAATCATGTGACATGAATTTTAATGAATTGATCACTATTGCACCTATAAAAATAACATTATAAGTATTTATACGATAATCGATCAACCTTCGTAAAAATTCACTTAGGAATATTTTTTTGTCTATTTTAATAAAAAATGGTCAACTTTTGCTTAGGTGTTAGCTAAACGGTCAACATTTAAGAGATTTGATATATTTGTCACTTTTGCACTAATTTCAACAATATTATCGGTGTTTTTATCTTTTTCTCATTTTAGACTACTTAATGTTTCTGGCCGATGATTTTGTGGGCATTATTACTCTCTTTTTTAATCTACATCAATAAAGATTGACATGTGATAAGCACAATCAACAATTAACATTGAAAATTAATGACGTTAGAATAAAATTAACAGTTTAATAATTTTTATACCAATTTTAATAATATTATGAATATTTTTATTTTTATTTGTTTATTTTAAGCTACCAAGTATTTTTAGCCGATATTGTTGCAGTTTAGCCTAACAAGAAATGATACCTTGACATAGGTCGAACGAGGAGAAACCAAAAATTTGAATAACCAACAAAGTAATTTTAGAAAGGTTGAAAAGTACCCTGTGACGTCGTTATATTGACGGAAGGAGCAGAAAGCAGCGGCGCCGGCGCCGGTGCCGGTGCCGATACTGATACCGAAATTGGTACATCAGCCGCGATTTCATAGAACCTGTGGCTCTCAAATCTGATGCTGCAGCTCGGTTTAACAACTCGACCTCCTGTGCTACCCTTACAACATTCTGGGATTCTTGAGATCGCCCCATCCAAGCAATTTCGACACTCCGGTTCATTCAAATCAGGCATGCACTGAGCAACACCGTATATCTTTCTCCTGCTCGATCCTGCATCAGTATTCCCGGCTGCGAATTTCCAGCGAGAGTCACCGGACGCTGCTTGCCGTGTCAGACTCCCAAGTAAGCCATTCAGAACTTGCTTGTACTGCTCCCAATCTGTTATATTATCCGTTACGCTCCTATTGTAGATAGTGAAATCAAGAGTGGGGACGACACCGAATATCACGTAATCTGAGTAGAACAATAGGCATTCATCATGGATTGCAATTGCGGTGGTGTATTTATCACACGATTGTGTGATGGTTGTGGAATTTCTGAGGCATGCACGGCAAGTGCTGGGAGTAACATCTCCTCGGCAGAGTCCAATTCCGTAGACTGTGTCAGGGGATTGGCCGTAAGAGAGATTGTAGAAGCCATAGTTGACGTTAGGGTTTGAAGTTAGTTTTGATAGGAGGATATTGAGGTTGAACTGGTAGGTGCTGTTTGGGGCGTAGGTTCCATAGGAAGTGAAGCAGTAATCTTCTGGGTAATCTGATTGGCTGGTGCATCTGGAAACGAGAATGAGGAAGAGACAGAGAATGGAAATGTGTCTGAAAGAAGCAATAGCCATTGGATGGGTGGCGCTTCTCTGAGTGATATGTGTTGTGGGTACTGAGGAGACCTTATCTAAAATGGAAGATGGAGCTTCTCTTCAGTCAAGACTCGAGAGCCTTTAGTCAACGAAAGGACATGATGAGCTTTCCGCGTCCGTGCATGGACTTTTACCTCCTTGTCATTTGGTTCAGAAAAATATCAGGAGGGGCCTCTGACACGAAATAGCTTCTCCGAACTGAGTGGAGGGACCAGACCACTGCCATTCTAAATTCATTGACTTGAATTTGCTGATTTAGATTTTAGAATGGGTGGTCTTTAAAAGCATTTTTTATCTTTTATAAACACCTTCAATTAAGATAATTAAGTTGTTAAATATTTTCTCCATCTTAAATTATAAATTACTTTTAAAAAAATTAATCTTTTAAAATATAAAACATTTTAATAGACTTATTTTAATATTATCTTTTCTCTCTCTTTATTTATTAAGTGTATATTCAAAATTATTAAATAAAAGACATTTTTATTTTTTAAAAAATAAATTTGTTAAATATATTTAATAAAATATATCAGTATGTGAAATTTTTTTAAAAAATATTTTATAATTAAGGTTGAAAGGAGTATATCATAAAATTAAAAATATTTTAAATTTACCACTACTAAAAAAATATAAGTTTAAAAAATAAAGAAATTTTTTTTGGAATATGCTTCATTCTCTTTCATGGGAAACAAAGTTTTGGAATGCGAGAGAGAGAAAAGCAAAATATTCTAAAAATCATATAAAAATTAAATTAGAATGAAATTTTCCTTCAAGTAATTTGCAAGGGGTTAAAAGAGGAAAATGTTAATTAATAATTTTTTATGTGACTTACATTGAGAAATAATAAATTCTTCTAGAAGGCACCATAGAATTTGATAAGAAAAGTAATGTTAAGATATCAATAAAGTTCCAAAATTTAATTACCAAGCAAGTAACATGCTTGAAAAATTCAACTAGAGATGCAATTAACATGAACTAGATTATTGAAACCTTTTGATAAAATTTGTTATAATCAGATAAACAAAATCCTTCTTACATATATTCAATTGTATAAAACAAAAAACAAAAAAACATATATCCGATTGTAGAAAGATTTCCCAAAGATATGAAAAAAAATAAATCCATATCCTGAATAAATATATCCAGATCTGACTTTTCAGTATCTCTGATAACAATTGCTACATCCTCATCGAGGGTATAGATCAGTTATGGAGACCTCATTTGCTGATAGTGTCTCATCATATTTGCTTCCTTGCTTTTCTGAGCTTGTTGAACGAAAACCATACTCCACATGTTGGACATCTGATGGGAAGCTTCTGTGATTAATAAAAAATGCAGGTTGCATGGGAAATGGAAGACAAAAAGAGTTGCTGTTAAGCATAAGAACAATGGAAGCCATGGTTGGTCTACAAGAAGCCTTTTCTTGGACACAAAGTAAGCCAATGTGAATGCATCTCATTATTTCGTTTCTTGAACCATCTTTTAATGTGGAGTCTACAATATCAAAGGCAGTGTCTCTCATCCAGCTTTTCCATGCCTGCATGAAGTTGCTTAATTAGTTCAAAGCTTTTCAATTATTCCTTAAGCATAAATTTATATATGTAATGACTGATTCTCTAAACTGATAGTTCTAACGTAACATTGAGAAATCACGATAATGAGGTAGAAAGGCGTACAAAACTTAGTAGATGCTCCACATTTTCTTTGCAGCGAAAGCTACAATTCTTTTGGCCACTTATTATCTCTAGAATCAATACACCATAACTAAAGACATCTGATTTTACTGAGAATTGTCCGTATCTTGCATATTCTGGTGCCATGTATCCACTGTATGTCATTGTCATCAATATAATCATTAGTATATCCCTTGACAATCATATTCAACACTTTCTTGTTTGTTATGGATAATAATCTATATACCCATGCCATAATTTGATACTTACCGTGTTCCTACTATTCTATTTGTATTGACTTGAGTGTGATCTGAAGCAAATAGTCGTGCCATGCCAAAATCAGATATTTTAGGATTCATCTCTAGATCTAAGAGAATGTTACTTGGCTTGAGATCACGATGAATAATCCGTTGTTGAGATTCTTCATGAAGGTAAAGAAGACCTCGAGCAATGCCTTCTATTATTTTGAAGCGAGTTTCCCAATCTAATTGTGAACGTTTAGAAGGATCTACACAGTCAAGTTAAAATAAATTAGTTAAAAGTATAGTTAGCATAACAATTTACAAAAGTCATGTATGAAAGAAAAGAAGTAACGAATTTTTGGCTCAAGAAAATTGACTCACCAAATATGAAGTAGTCAAGACTTCTATTAGGAAGAAACTCATAAATTAATAGCCGTTCATTTTGTGTTAAGCAAAAACCAACGAGTCTTACTAAATTTCCATGCTGAAGTTGGGCCATTAATAACACTTCATTCTTGAACTCAATATGTCCTTGCCCAGAATTCGTAGACAATCTTTTTACTGCAATGTCTTGTCCATTGGAGAGCCTACCCTGAAGTCGACCAACAACTAGGATACATCAATATTCAACCTTGAGAACACAGACACACACACACCCCTCAACGCGAGTTTTATCTCTCTCTATACCTTGTAAACATGTCCAAATCCACCTTGTCCAAGCTTGTTTTCATCCGAGAAGTTATCAGTAGCAGCTTCGATGGTCTCAAATGCACATTGTATTGACTCAGCAAGTTCAATGGCATTGTTAACTTCAGATTCGCCTAGAAATAGGAATTTAAGCTATTCTTCAAATGAAATTTAGTTCAGAATGTACCAAGATTAACTTTTGCATGAGAATAAATGAAATAGAGATAAAAAAGTGAGATTCAACTCTTTCTCTTCTTTCTATTTTCCCTTTCGAAACAGGATCCTAATAAATAGTGGATTTGAATTCCCAGATGTTCAGGAGGAAAAAATGGAAGACAAGTGTAAAAGAAAAGGCGAACCCCACTTCTCGAAGGTTCATGGTCACAAAAACTGAAATTTGCTATTGCAAATGAAATGGACGAGGAAGAGGGAGAAATTAGAACCTCAAGTAGGTCTTACTTTCCTCCTCTTTCTATCTCTTTTCAAAAGCTGAAAGAAATTTAACCACGCTTTGATTTCCATCTAGATTGTGGGCAATAAGAAAATCAATATGTAAACTTACTTTGAGTATGTCTTCTTCGGTTCATTCTTTCTCTTACAAAGACCCAAACGATATAAAGCAGCACGATAGAGGCAAGAAAAGGCACAACTATAGCGACAACTGTTATTAATGTCTTGTTCTTTCCTGAAAAGAAAAGGTTGCCAAAAGAAAATCTTCAAGAACAAAAGTTTTGAAGCCTAATTTAATGTCTGACTGTGAAAAAAATGCACCCTTTCCTTTCATAAATGGAAAGGAAAGCCCCAGCAGAAAGTTATCATTTGAGGTGGAGATGATGATTACAAGAAAACAGAGAGATGAAAGCAGACTTGACGAAGCAGAAATCTTTCTCCATCAAACTTCTCGTCATCTTGCCAGGGGACCAAATTTTCGCAGGGTAGGTTGACTGGTACATACCTTGTGAGGTTGACGACGGAGAAGAAGGTTTTGGCGAACCATCAGTTACAGGATCATAGAAGAGGTAATGCGATACCAAATGGAGCAGAGAATCAGATTCCAACGCCTCTGATATTGAACAATTTGAGTATCGTAGCTTCCTTCGGATTTGGACACAACTTTGGGAGAAGAATTGAGGCATTCCTGAGGCAACTACGGCATTCGTCTTGCGTAACCCCACCTCTGCACAGCCCAATCGCATTAACTCGGTCAGGATTTAGGCCGTGAGAGATATTGATCAAGTGATAGCTGTTGATTTTTGCGTCGGAAGTGAGCTGTGAAAGAAGGATATTAAGGTTTGTTTGGAAGGTGCTTGTACTTGTGTAGTAATCTTTGGAATCGAAACAGTGGCTATCTCGGGAATCGGGAGTGCCGGCGACGAGAAAGGGAAGATGAGAAAGGAGGGTAACGGAAATGGTAGAAATTTCCATATAGAGTGGGTGAAAAAAATGAGCTTTCATCACTTCAACGGAGAAATGTACTGCTTCTCTCTCGTAGACTTTTTCCGGACACTTGATAGCCATTGTCACCGTCTTTCATTGGATGGGTGTCATTCATTGGATGGGTTGTCTGCAGCGAAGTTGCTTTGAGCTTGCTTACCGATCACATTCAGAATTTAAGGTAGTATTATATATTATATTTATTAAAATAAAAATTTATAAAATAGTTTTAATAAATTTTTTATGTTTAATATAATTTATATTTAATTTAAAGGATCTAATTTAATGTTATAATTTATATATATTAATTATTTAGTTGTACTCCATACAGTTTAAATTAATTAATTTAAATAATTAATATATAATTATAAAAATTTTAATATTAAATTAATCTCTTAAAATTAAATTTAAATCAAAATAAATATAAAATAAAAATATATAATGCTGCTTTACATTTGGACCATTCAGATGGTCTAAATTTTATCACATAATGCTCATCCTCGTAAACTGTGATGAGCTAAGAAACCAAAACTACATCTAAAATCGTCTTGTTTTGTTTTTATTCTCCTCAGCTTTCTCTCGTTGTGGCAATAGTTCGATGTACTATTTGCTAATCAAATGATATTTTAACCATTTCATAATTAATAATGACTTTAAGCCAATAACAGAATCAAAACTTAAAAAATAAAATTAAAATTAAAATTCATATATCAATTTGTCTGTTTGTATGAAAACAAAGTTTGCTTTTTATCAATATAATTTCTTATAATATATTTTTGTTTTTTAATTTTTTAACACTTCGGAGCCTATCTTTTTACCTAAATAATTATATTCATTTTCATTTTAAACTAAAGGGATTGAATTGAATTCGAATTTAAGGAACTAAATTAATAGAAATTAAATTTGAGGGTTTAAAAATTACATTATACTTTATTTTTATTTTAAAATTTCCATCATGTTGCAAGAAAGGTTCTCCCCACGATATTCCTATACTAAAGGATCTGAGTATATTAATTGGTAATTCAAGCCAAACTTGATGAGTCAGCTCAAATAAGTTTGAAAAATTTTAAAGTCAAACTTGAAAGTTTAGAAAATTTTCTTTGCTCCAAGCTTATTTAACTTATTCAGGCTATGCAAATGAGCTCAAACAAATTTGTGCCATGTCCGAACCAGTCCAGAATTGATTTAGTTGTAACATTCAAATTTACTTTGTGTTTTTTTAAAAATATAAATTGGGGTATTTTAAATCAAATCTGAGTAAGCTCCGCCGGTTCCAAAGCACAAAGCATCGTGGCCTTGTGTAGGCGCTTTAGCGGGCCCTAAACAGAGCAAACATTTAGTCTAAGAACCTAGGCATGCTATCCAATTTGTGATTTCAAGGTGGCAATACATGCTCTCACATGAAATGGGCTTATAAATTTAAAGAACTCTCTTAAATCTCATTTAACAATCTAGTCTTTCAGATAAGCTCTCTCTCATGATTGTCTCCTTTTGGTCACGACACATTGATAGATTTGTTGAGGAGCCAATGACAATCATCTATCTTAGCGTTCATGTTTCGTTCATTTGCTTTGACATTAGTTTTCGGGCAGAGGAGAAATTTTGGAGACCATTGTCAATTTTTCAGAGGACTGCGTGTTTCTTATTAGTGCCTTTGCTAAATTATGGGTGTCTATCTGGTAATGAATAACAACTTCACTTGATAACAGAATGTTGTTGGCATGGCATACAAACGAAAGTGACAGTGACAATTTCTGCAAGTCAACTAACCTTGAATAATCAGAATGACTACTGTTTTTATTCACTGGATGACCTAGTAGAGTTTGTTATGGATGGAGTTCTTAGTATACCCAACCTGCAAAGAGATAATTTCTGCACTGTTCCCATGATATGAAATTCTTTATTTACAATACAGAGAACTTTTGAATTAAAATACATTACTTGCATCTTTTCCTGTTTATGCACTGAAAATTCTATGATTTTCTTTTTTTAAAAATAAAGCACTGTTATATTGGTGGAATAACAAATATACCAGCAATTATGATCAAGAATGTCACCTCTACAACTCAAATTATCGAGGACATATATCAGTTATTGAGGCCTCGTTTACTGATAATGATTCTACAGATTTTCTTTTTTTCTCACCGGAACTTGTTGACATAGATCTGTAATTCCCAGATTGTCTTCCTGATAAACTTGTGTCATTCATAAAAAATGCAGGCTTCATGGGCGCTTGAAGTGAGAAAGAGTGACTGCTGAGCATAAGTACAAGAGAAGCCATGGTTGGTCTCTTAGCAGCTTTTTCTTGAGCACACAGTAAACCGACGTGAATGCATCTCATTATTTCATTTCTTGAGCCATCTGTTAATGTGGGATCTATAATGTTAGAGGCTGTCCCTTTCCTCCAGCTGTTCCATGCCTGCAAGCAACAAGTTCCTCAATTTTAGAAAGTATTAGTCCAAAGCTTAATTTATGTTTCATGTAGACCGATAATGAGTAATTTCTTAAACTCAATTTCTAAGACAAGGAGGATAAATAATGAAAAGGCAGAAAACATACCAAACTTGGTAGATGCTCGACATTCTCCATATTATGTAAGCCACCATTCTTCTGGCCACTCACAATCTCTAGAATTAGCACGCCAAAACTGAAGATATCAGATTTCACTGAGAATTGTCCATGCCTTGCATACTCTGGTGCCATATACCCACTATATGTTAAAGTGATCACATACAATAAGTAACACTTCTCTTGACTATCATATTCAAGTTTTTTCTTCTTTCTGGTCTAGGGCACTTAGAAACTAATTAGACATGCCATGTTTTGATACTTACTAGGTCCCCACAACTCTATCCGTATTGGCTTGAGTTTGATCCATAGCAAATAGTTTTGCCATGCCAAAATCTGATATTTTTGGATTCATGCTTGCATCTAAGAGAATATTACTTGCTTTAAGATCACGATGAATAATTTGTTGTTGAGATTCTTCATGAAGGTAAAGAAGGCCTCGGGCAATTCCTTTTATAATTGTGTAGCGCGTTTCCCATCTCAATTGTTCACGTCTGATAGGATCTATATTTCAGTCCAAGAGAAACATGCAAAGTAGAGTCAGAATATTTTCTTATTTAGTCTGCAAAAAAAGATAATGAACATTGTTTCCCATGTAGAAATAGAATGTCTAATTTACCAAATATAAAGTGATCGAGACTTTTATTAGGAAGAAACTCATATACTAGAAGCCGTTCCTCTTGTTTCAAACAAAAACCAAGGAGTCTAACTAAATTTCGGTGTTGAAGCTTGACCATTAATTGTACTTCATTCTTAAATTCAATGTCCCCTTGTCCAGAATCCCTAGACAACCTTTTTACTGCAATCTCTTGTCCATTGGAGAGCTTTCCCTGAAAGTAGGCCAACAAGTATCAGAATTTGACTGGAGATGATGGGTTCATAATAATGTTAGTGGTGTATCTGTCTACCTTGTAAACTGGTCCAAATCATCCTTGTCCGAGCTTATTTGCATCAGAGAAGTTATTTGTAGCAACTTCGATGGTGTCAAATTCGAATCTTATTGACTCAGTATGCTCAATTGAATCATCAGCTTCAGTCTCACCTATGCAAAATGATTTTAAGCCTTTTTCCTTAGATATTATTTAATTAAAGCTGTAATTAAGTTCAGCAGAACAAATGGCTTCAAAAAGTCAAAAGAAATTTAATAAATTTTGACTTTGCTCAACATTGTCAAGTTGTCAGCAATAATTGACTTGTACTTACTTGGAAATTTTCTTCCTTGCTTTCTCACTCTCACACAGATCCAAACAAACGCAAGCAGCACAACCAAGACGGCAGTAGGCACAACAATGGCAATGATAATCTCTGATTTTTTTCCTGGAAAAATAAAATCCCTGTTCATTGAGAGAGATAATGGCAAAGAACATTGATTTTGAAGCCTTACTTATTCTCCAGGTTTCTGCTAAAGTAAAAACTACCCATTCCTCCCGGCTGGAATGGGAAATCTCAACAAAGGGAAAGTTTTGGAGGTTTATCTGCTAATGAAAGCACCTTTTGAGGACGTTGTGGCAGCAGATGGAGGAGGTGATGGAGATGTAGTGTTGTTGGATGGAGGAGTTGATGGAGATGTAGGAGGAGGAGGAGGAGGAGGAGTAGGAGACTCTTCCGGCGACGGTGCTGATAATGGTGCATCAGCTGCACTTGCATAGAATCTGCTACTTTCATATCTAAAGTTACAGATTGGCGTAATAACCCTACCACCTTGCCTGTTATTACAGCAATTTGGAATTTGCGAGATAGCCCAAACCAAGCAGTTGTTGCATTCTGACCCATTCAAATTAGGTGTGCACTGAACGACAGCATATATTTTTTGAAGGTCAGGTCCGTCTTCATTTCCTGCAGCAAACTTTAGACTTGACTCACCAGATGCAGCTCTGCTACTCAGATTTCGCAGCAATCCTGTTAGGACCTGATTGTACTTGTTCCAATTTGTTGCAGTGTTCACGCTCCACATATGGACAGTAACTATAGGATCTACCTTATTGCCTAATATTGAGGTGTCTGAGTAAGATAACATGCATTCATCGTACATCCCAAAAGCTTCCTTCTGATCTGGACATAAAAGTGGCAGCAGGACTGATGCATTTTTAAGGCAGCTATGGCAGAAATCTGACATAACATCTCCCCTGCATAACCCAACAGTGTAGACTGTATTTGGGTAATTACCATGAGAGAGATTGTAGAAGCCATAATCTATTTGTTTGTTGGAAGTGAGATTTGATAAAATGGTATTGAGATTGGTCTGGTAGGTGCTGTTTGCTGTGGTGTTACTGCTGGTGTTGCAATAATAGTATCGAAATTCTGGTTGGCTGGTGGCTTGATATACTTGAGTGACAAGAACACACAGAAATTGAAACAATGCTAAATAAGTAGCTCTGGCCATTGAACTTGTCTGAGTATTATAGCTTTCAGGTAAATTTAAACTCTTTCAGCCGGGGGGGGGGGGGGGTTCTTGTAAAGCACCCATCAATTTCATTAATAACATCTTTATCATTGCAGATTTGACTTGACTTTTTCTTGGTGGAGCCACATTTTC